GGTAGACTCTGTTGTTGGAAAGAAAAAAGGGAAAATCTTTGGTCTTGGATCTATCAGTAAGACTTTAGTTGCATTTTCAAGTCAACCTACAAATTTAGAGGATGTTGATGTAATTAGAAGTCAAGTTCAAGCTCTAAATAAGTCACTACAAAGACAAGAGAAATTAGAGATAAGAAAGGAATTAAGCAAAACTAGAGAAATGAGAAAAGAGTTAGGTAATACTAAAAAGCAACTTTAATGTAATATTTAAGATTTTCTGCATCTAGCTCTCATCCACCACCATCACCCTAATATAGTAGTGAAGATAGCAGTGATGATTATGATGATATGTGAATGTAGTGGTCATAATAGTTTTAAGGATGCCATTTAATATAACATGTGATTATTTTTTTTAATTACATTTTTTTATACTATATGTGGACATAGATAAAAGTAAACATTGTGGTTATTTGTTTTAAATTTTAGTAGTTTATTGGTTTATAAGATTTTCTACAAATTTACTCATTGTGACATTTATAGTACTATTGACTTCATCTTTGGTAATGCTGCTGATGTACTCCAAAATAGTAACCTCTTTGCAAGAAAGCCTCTAAACAAAGTAAACACGATCAATACCCAAGAAAGAACCAAACCAAACCAAAACATAGGTATTTCTATTCATAATTCAAAGGTCACTGCTACCTCAGACTTGAAACTAATTCAAAGCTTGGTTAAGACATACCTTGGAAGGTCATGGCAACAATATTCAAGAACAGTTTTCATGAAGACTTATCTTGATAGTTTGATCAATCCAATGGATTGGTTAAAATGAAGTGGTAACTTTGCTTTAAGTACTTTGTACAATAAAGAATACATGAACATAGGACTAGTGCTTCAATCATAAATCGAGTTAAATGGTCAAGTTATCATGTTGTTATAAGTGCTTCTAAAGCTTCAAAATTCACTATTGAGAATTTCATTGCTGACAACTCATGGTTACCTTCTACCGTAACACCTTAATTTAATTTCAAATATCAAATTTCGCAAAATAGGAGAAAAATAAAATTTCATTCAAAATGGTTTTCCCATGCATAATTTATTAAAATATTTCAAAATAAGGATGAGTTACAACTTGCATCAAATCATTGCTACAGGACTAATTCGATTACATCAGAGTTTAAATAAATTTCTAGTCCTATAGCAGTTTTATCCATACTTTCACTGAGTCTGGTGCGGATCGTCTTGGTCACCTGAAAAATAAATGTAAGGTTAGTACTCTACATTATCCAACACATACACAAACATAAAGACTCACCTTGCACACCTACATGTATTCTAACATATTCTATTCAAGTATTAACAATCACAATATGATTCTCATCATACATTCTATTTCAAATTATAACTGGTGCGCTCACCGCACCAATAACGTTTCACACACGTGCACTCACTACACATAGCCACGCTCACTGTGATACTGTGATTACAATTTCACACCATAGATAGTCACCGGTTACTCTCGCTTCACAGATACCACGTGTGCGGTCACGAGTCGCTCGGCAAATGTGTTGGTCAGAGGTCTAGTCAGGAGGAGAGTGTAGTGCACCTATGCTCACTGTTGGTGTCACCACCACTCTTTCTTCCCCAAGGTATTTCTACCATCTCTATCTTTCACACCTCCAGTGTATCGCTGAACCATTCATAGCATATTCACAACTGCATTTAACATGCCCATTCACACACATTTTAACCACATACAGTGTTCATTCACAGCACACGGCACCCCAACCCATATTCATTCACAATACATAGTACAAATGCTCACATTTATTTGCGTTACCTTTAACGCACAGCAATTTCATACACAACATTTTCAACATAAGTTTGAGTGCAAACAACCATTCTCAACACATGTATTACTCAATACCAACTACCTTGTAATCACTCATATAATTTCCATCACAATTTACTCAAATCAATTCAATAGAACATACATTTTCCTACATTTCAATCACTCACATCACAACACATAACAATTAACGGAGTTCAAGCACAAAATAAGATAGGGTAGAGTCTCCTTACCTCGAATGAAGACCCATGACGTAATTCAACAACAAATGTTCTTCCAAAACGGATTTCGTCCTAAATACACGAAGGAACCCCATGAGAACCAAAGGAAACCAAGAAAACAGAGAATAGAGGTGAGAAACCGAAACCCTAACTATTAAAACTTACCTCCAAGCGTTCTCAACACAATTTCAACCTTCAACCTAGCTCCCAAACGGCTTCAGAGGCAATTTAATCGGTGAAATAAAGTTTTGGATCGAGAGAATCGAAGAAATTTTCAAAAAAGGAATGAGAAATTATTTTCCAAACCCTAACCCCTTCAAATACCCCTCTAGTCGTGACACTCTTTCTACAGTGAAACACGAAACCTCGCTGCAGCGACGCCCCTTGTTACTACAGCTAAACTCTCATAGAAATTTGCACTCTGGTATCTGCAGAATCTTGTTATAGCGAGATTGTACCAAAACATACACCCTCCACTGTTGCTTTCTCGCTACAGTGAGAGTGACACAGTTTCATGCTTTTCACCCAGCCCTGCAACATACACTTAGCATATGTATATGCATCATTGCCACATAATTCAAACACATATACATTTGCATTGTGATGCTCATCAATCATCATTCAATGGAAATTCACAATTATATATATATATATATATATGTATGTATGTATGTATTTAAATACATTTACAAAATTCAAGGTGTTACATCCACTAGTGTTCCTTTCACCTCTGGTCTTTAAATTTCATCATTTGTTAGTGAATTTTTTTATTTCTTATTATTTTATTTTCTTCCCTTCAATATAAGTTCGAATGATATTTTGTCAAATACAATAAAAAAGTTACATAGCTCGTTTAGGTGATAATAGCTTTATTATTCTTTATGGATTGTATAACCAAATTCATTTGTACAATATGAAGAAGTTGATATAATTTGTATTTTTTGAGATTGAATTTCTTAGTTTTCGCATTAAGTATAATTCTTATGTTATGCTTCAAGCACATTTTCATTGAATTAGAACAATTACCATTACCAAAGCTTACATACAAATGATAAATTGTCTTGTTATCATTGAAGTAGAATAATTTTGCCAAAAATATTCATATTTCTGTATCATCTATTGCTGGATATTGTGAGAGTAAGTCTGTCTTTTTTTAAAAAAAAAAAAAAACTTTCTAGTCATATAATCTTCAATTCTGATTCATAACATAATCTTAATCAAAATACTAGTTACAAATTGCAAAATCAAAAGAAAATGAACAAAAAATATGAATACAAACTTTTTATACTTATAATACTAATATTCATTATACAATTATTAGTTTGATTAATTAGATTTACACACATAATATTTAAGATTTCAATTTTTAGTTTAAATTCACAAAGTATACATATTTAGTTTTAGTAGTTACATAAATAACTTAAAAATCATAAATTATAAAAGGCTAGCATAAAATCAATTAAAACTAAAATATAACTAACTTGTTAATTATGAAAATGAAGTTTCAACTCCATTCTTTACTTTCTATATTCATATGTTAAGAATTATATATATTATTAACAATAAATGATAAACTTATTAGTATAAGTATATCATAATTTATATAAAAAAAAATAAGTACAAGACCATTTTCTCATAAATCAATGAACGTGGTATTAATCTTCTAATACGAAGAGAAGTTCCAATAAATAAATAATTATTGATTTCTTTTATTTTGATTTGATTTTACCTTGAATGTGAAATCTTTCAACATAGCATCCCTTTTAAAATCAATTATTTCTTAAGATGAGATTCATTATTTTTCACCTCTTGAATATGCGCATGAACACACTAATTTTGGTGATTCTAATCCATCTTCAAATATCTTTTCAGTTACATCTTTATTTGTAATTATATGATAAAATAATAATAATAATAATAATATTATTATTATTATAATTTATTTTTTAATGGTGTGAGACAATAATTAAAATATTGATATTATTATATTTATTTAACTTTTTCTACATTTTTATTAACTTTTTTTTACTTAAAATATGATTACAAAAATAAGAAGCATGATTAAAGACACTTTATTAAGAGAAGTAAATCAAAATATCGGTTTTTATTGAAAAATCATTCTTTTTGAGAACTAAATCAGCAATGGTTATTTTGGATCGAATTTTGACACAAAATGGATTAGTTATTTAAATTAATCAAGAATAATTTAATTATTTGATTACGATAATTTTACCTGATGAATGCTTTTAATTATATGACCGGTTATAGTAATTAAATATTTATACAATTTCTTATAGGTATTTTTATAACTATCATAAATAATTATAATAGGCTATATTTGAGTTTCTTCCTCTTTCTTTTTTTTTCTTTTTATCTCAAAAGGTATATGGAAATAATATAACAAAAGTGACTGCAAAAATGTTGTGTCATAAGGTTATCATTATTCTATCCTCTCATTAAAAAATGACAGATAAATAATTAAAGGAAAATATAAGTTTTTAATTGTATGTTACTTTTTAATTAGAAAGAAGTGGAAAAAAGGAATAAGCATAAGCAAGTTCAATCCCTTGTTATTCTTACAATCGATAATCATACTTGTGCATCTTCAACCTCAACAAAATAAAAGGACGAAACCACGGAAAAAATACAACAGAAACGATTATTTTAAAGAAATATAATTTAAAATATTAAAAATTAGAAATGAAAATATATTATACTAAATTTAAACAATTTTTGTTGGGATAAACTTTATCCAAAAATATGCGTTTGTAATTTTAAATTTTACGAAAAAAAACTTGGTCTAATTTGCATGACCTCTATGGCGGTAAACTAGCTGAACGGCCAAGATTTCGATCCAACGAATTCTCTTTCCTCTAATTTTTGCAAACAGACTGTTTTCTCGCGAAGTCCCAGAAAGAATATTTATTTTTTTTCCTTTTTGATCTTTCAGAGAAACTATAGGAATAATTTAATGTATTGTGTATATATATTAAAAAAATATTGAAACTCAGATTAATCCAACGACGACCATCAAATCTCACCTTCCAAACAGAAAACACCAACCAAACCCTAACCTAAACGACCATTCCCTCCTTCCCCTCTCTTTCTCTCTCTTCTCTCTCTCTCCACCGCTAATCTCCGCCGTCCGATTCTTCTGATCCACCACCCGATCCACAAAGGTTCCAACCTCCTTCGCCAAGATCTCATTGCACGCGCCTCTCACACTGGACCACGCGCCTGCTACCGCTTCCATCATGGTCGTGAGCGGAGGGAAGCCTTTGAAACGCATGAAGAGGAGAGTCACCGCTGATTTCTACGATTTTCTGTCGTTTCCCTCGCCGTCTCTCGCTGTGTCGGAGAACTACGCCGGCGGACCCTTCCGCACCAACGTCCGCTCCTTCCTCACCAAGCACGCACTGCTCCCGCCACCGTCGGCGCTGTTTCCGCACCTGCTGACGTGGCAGATCCTCTTCCGCATCGGCGAGCTCACCGACAGCCCCGAATCGGGACCGCCGGTGGTGTGCCTCGACGTCGTGGAGGAGGACGTGGCCAGATCTAGATCCATTTACTGCGATCAGTGCCGAGTTTTCGGTGAGTTGACTAGCCAGTAGTTGAGCCGGTTCTGTTTTGCATGAATCGCTTTGGTTTCATCGTTTTTTCCGGTTTCTCTTCGGTTGCCAGTTTTTAATCCCCTACTCTGGTAGCGTAGCAGAAAACATGCAAAATGAAAAGTGAACCATCCTGATATATCGTATTGATTTCGCGAGATGACGTTTATTATGATTATTTTATTATTATAAATTGCTAACATAATCATAAATCATTAATGTAAGTGTGTTTATAAGTATGATTAAATGAATATAGAGCAGAGTAATGTGCAGTTATTGAATTATTTGAATGAAAATGACTGATAAAATTACTGTTACCGATGGGAAGTGGACTGTAACATATCGCCGATTCGGTGACGATAAGATCCAGAGATATATTGGAGTATCAATAGGAAAGCAGGATTAGGTGGTTTGTGGGCCCCAAAAGAAGTGGGACAGATGAGAGAACTTTGAAGTGCCACGTGTTAGTCCTAATTTTATGGGATGTGTTCATTGCTGTCTTTGTTGCGTGACAGCTATGATTTTGTCGTCATCGTGCTAATATATGTATATATATCGTCATTATTGTGGTCCAACTTTGCTTCTGTCTTGCTTATTTAGTACTAACGTGTAACTCAAGTCATTCGCCACGCATATCTGGATGGACGCTGTTCTTTTACATAATAATGAATCATGAATCATAATCATAATAATAAGGGATAAGATAAAGATCGGTACATAAATCTTATATAGGCTCTTATTAGATATAATAGTTAAAAGTAATATTCTTATTTTTGTGGTGACTCCCGTGAATTGTCAATAATATTTTGTGTAAATATTATTATTTATTATGTTTTTTGGTTTAGTTTCTTTGATTAAAGACTTGCAATTTTCTTGTTTAGGGTGGAGCGGCCACCCCGTGTGCGGGAAACGTTACCATTTTATTATCAAAGCCGATGGGAGCTCTATTGGTGGGTATCACAAGCCATGTATGTGCTGTGGGGACATCTTGCATTTGTCAGAATCAAAGTGAGTTACCTTCTGCCACTTGAGCAATTTTTCCCGTTTCATGGAAACCACATTTGTCATCTATTGGGTTTTTATTCTTTACAATTGATTGTTGCGTAGTATATTTGATAGGCGAATGTTTAAGTGAAATATGTTTCTGAAATTCTTATTTCTGTTTTTTTTTTATCCATTTACTACTAATTCACGTATTGTTTCTTTGGTGTAGATTTAAATTTGGAATTCAAAGTCTCGATAATTAGCCGTTCTCTATGTGAAAACATTGTAGCTACCGAGTTGTTTTTCAAAGTTAATGTGGTTGATTGCTGAAATGGAATGCCTGTTTGTCAGAGCTCCAAATTTGTTGGGGCTTTGTGTCTATGAGCCTCACCCGGTTAATATCAATTTACTACGAGTGAATTAGTTCTGTTAGTATGAAATTTCTCGTTATGCTGAAGGAGAGGGTAGTTTCCTTTCGTTTGAGGCTCAGTGCATGTTTGGGTTGCCTTGTTATTATCTCATTATTTAATGAGCTTATCATCAAAATGATGTTAAACGAAGCTTATTTCGGATCAGTGCGATGCTGGAGTCCTTGATCTTACATTTTAGCTAATGCTTTATATCTTCAGATGCAAGTCTTGCAACCATGTGACTACCACTGATGATGTTGAAGACTGGGTGTATAACCAATTAGAGAACACGACTCATCTTTTGCATGGCGTAGTCCATGCCAATGGATATGGGCACCTTCTTCGAGTTAATGGCAAAGAAGGGGGCTCTAGATTTCTTTCTGGTTGTCATATTATGGATTTTTGGGATCGCCTATGCAAGACTCTTGGAGTCAGGTTAGGATTCTTGATTGTAATTACCAATTGCTATTCTTTTGCGACGTAATACTTCCATTGTCTTGGAGCTAATTCTTTCTATTTTTTGGATCTTATACTTGGGTCGTTTATGACACTCGTCACCCAGTAGGTAGTGAGGTGGGGAAGAATGATGCAGAAATATTTCTTATAAAATTAACGATAGTTCAGATTTAAAATCGTGCCACATTAGAATGTGCCTATTTTAAAGATTAAAGACGAGTTACAGGACACCTAACTTTTGGGTCAAGGGAATAAAAATGGAGATCTTACCTAGAAAGGTTAGGGATTACACGGAGGAAACAAATAAATCGTGTAATTGTAACAACACTGATCATAAGACACGTACCAAAAATACAAAATGATATTTGAGTTCATGTACATGCATAGAAAATTAATAAAATTTAGGCAAAGTAACCTTAAATTACTAACAGCCACAAACTTACAATTTATGTCACTACTTTTTCGCACTAGGTGAAGTCAGGAACATGAATTACACAATGTCATTGAGCTTGATAGAAAGTCAAATTTTCAGAAATTTGGTTAATCAAAAAATTTCTTACAATAATTTTGTCCAAGGTTCTTTTGAATTTTTCTTAACTCTTTTTCTGCATTACTAAAAGTCATGTAATCCATTCCTTTTATTGGTGTACAAAACCATTTTAGACGATTTTAAGTCATCTTTTGACACATCACTACCATTCCAAATTCAGAATCTCCACCTGCATCATCATCAAAGTTGCTTCTAACACTAGCTGCGCACAAACTCCCATTATCGTCCCTAGCAGCTCCTTTCCCACATACTTTTATGAACACCTGAACAGATTAGGTGAGAGTAATCTGGCAGAGATCAGAAACTTTAATCCAGGGTCCCAAGAAGTGTAGCAACCAGACCAAAGTAAGCAGTAGTCGAACCCACAAGAAAATGAACCAAGTGATGAACCCAGAAGCAGAAGAACGGAGGGAGTGGTTTGGAACTTTGGTGTGCATAAGAGCAGAAAAAACAGTTTAAGTAAAGTGGCAAAATGAATGATCATGTTCATGATTTTAATCTAATGGGTCCAACTAAAAATGGGTCGAATTTGTCAGTTTTTTTTCTTTTTAAAAAAAAAAAAACAGGTTCAAGTAAGATGTGAAAAATCATTTGATCTCACGATCTTACTGGTAAGACTTAGGATCTTACTGATTTGAGGCATGAGAAAAATGTAAAATCGTACAATATTAAGAGTAAAACCATGATTTTAACTACTGCGTTTTGGGTATCTTCAAATACCTTAACCTCCTTAAAATGGGAGAAAATTGGTTTTGGTTATTTGTGCTTTATATGGATATAGCTATGAATTAAATAACGTTTTCTTCACTTTTGCCATGGCAGAAAAGTTAGCGTAATGGATGTTTCAAAGAAATATGGGCTAGAGTACCGCTTGCTCCATGCGATTATGAAGGGACATCCGTGGTATGGTGACTGGGGTTATAAATTTGGATCTGGTAGCTATTGTCTCACATATGAAGCGTACAAGTCTGCTATTGAAAGCCTATCCAATCTACCCTTGTCCACCTTCTTTTCCCCGGGACAAATGCCCCACTCTCGTGTGCAGGACATGATCTCATATTACCAGTCTTTGTCAGAGCATGAACTTGTAAATATAAGGGACCTCTTTTGTTTTTTGATGAGTTTGATTGACGATGCCCGCAAGAATGCATCAAATGTTGATGACAAAACCTTCAAGAAGCGTCGTTTTAATGCTTCTGGGGATAGTTCTTGGGAGAAGAGTGACGTTGAATATGTGGAGGAAGCCATGCTCAGAGTACTGCGTGCAGTGTCTGGGTCTAATTGGGTGAGCTGGCGTGCTCTTAGGGGTGCAGTGTGCAAGGTGGCCTCTCCAGAGCTGCTTGATTATTGCCTTGGAAAACTGGGAGGGAAGGTGGTCTATGGTGGAATGGTTGTTAATAGTCGATGCAATCCTCAAACTGGAGTTTATGAGTTCAGGTTAGCCTTCAATCTGATTCTTATGGGGTGTTTAATCCTCTGTGTTAGACAGTTTAACTTCTTAGCCAGTCATACATATACTTACTGGTTCAGACAGGAATATGCTGCTTCAATTATTAGTTTTTTTACAATTTTCCAGTCACAGTGAAGCTGAACCGATTCTTGATATTGGCATTATCTTCATGAATGAAGTTTGACATCGAATAATTTTAAGCATGTTTGATATGCCCCTTGTTTCTTGTGGGTTCTGATTTGGATTACTACCGATGTTCTTTCCAAATCTTGATGCTATGTACTTGTCTTATTTGGACGATACTCTTCCTGTTATTTTTATGAGATGCGATCACGGTTCTAATATTATTGTATTTTATTTGCTCTAGGCTCGAGGGTGCAAGCAGTTCTTGCTATGGAATTTTAACAAACAATAACGCTTCAGGCTCAAAGTATCCATCTGAAGAGAACCTCCTTCAATGCTTGAGATACTTATATGATTCTCTGCTTCAACCTCAAACGATGCTAACCTATGTTGAAGAAGGGAAAAGAACTCTTGCAATGAGCTCAGCTCAAAAGCTTCTTGACTGCAAGCAGTTTGTGAAAGATTATAGTCCTGAGATGTTGCCAATGTCAGATTTGGATAAGTTACGCATCTCGTGTCAGGTTGAACTTATAGATGAATCTGAAGATTCTGCAGCTAGAACTCCGCCAGAATTAATAGTGTTGCCTATGAATGCCATGGTGGCTGACCTTAAGTTTGAAGCTGCAAATGCTTTTCAAGATGTTTATCTAATGTTCAGAAGATTTCAAGTTGATGAGCTACTTGACTATAGAGGTGTAGACGATTCCACCCAGGTCAAGCTCTTGTTAGGATCGAAAGATGCGGTTTGTGTCCGTGGAAGATGCATTGGGAAGAACGGATTGAATAAGTTCCGAATGGAACGGGGACTTGAGAGGTGGACAGTAGATTGCAGCTGTGGGGCTAAGGACGATGATGGAGAGAGAATGTTGGCTTGTGACATATGTGGGGTGTGGCGGCACACTAGGTGTTCTGGCATCCATGATGCTGATCCTGTTCCAGCACGTTTTGTTTGCCCGAGATGCCAAAACTGTGAATCTAAACCTAAATCTAGTGGGCTCTGCAAAGACGAGACTGTGAGTGTCGTTAGTACTAGTGTAGCAGTTGCTTCGGAAACGGCTCGCAAGTGCCATCCAATGTTCATTAAGTCATACGATTAGATGTGTATGAAAAGTTCTTTTGTTTCTCTTTATTTTGCTTGGGCCTGAAAGAACCTGTACATAACAGATGGGCCTTAGGGGGATGGCTTCAGGGATAGGGCATGTCTTGTTCATCTTTCAGGTTCTACCTTCGTTAGTTTATTTTGTGTATATAATGAAATGACTGACGGAAACGTGGAGGGGGAAAAGAGAATATTCATCTTTTTTTTTTTGTTTGGATATAGGATCTTAGAAGATTCATGCTAGCCTAGTAGCAACATTAATGATGTAACTAACAAGTTGGTTAAAATGAGTTGTTTTGAGTCCCATTTCATTTTATTTTACAGAACTTATAACTTTATTTTCTTCTTTCGTAGGGTATTTTAGAAAGATTACTACGAGTTCGTTTTATGCCAAAGATTAATTTCTCGCGCGCACTACACGTGCATTTTATTGTAAAATGCGTGATATTGATTTGATCATATATCTTGATTACATTTATTAATTAAAATTATTTTTATCCTGAATTATTGTGGACAAAATTGCTCTGAAATTATGGAACGATAAACCTTGGAAGTGTACACAAGACCGTTTTAGCTCATACCAGAGATTAAAATCTCTGAAGGACCTTTGCTGTAGTGATGTCCTAATGAAATTAGTCAGAAATTCCATTGCAAATAGCTTAAATTGCTGTTTCCAGGAATAAATGACGAGGCACATAGTGCCCTAAGTGAAATTAATTGCAGATGATGGAATCATTCGCTATTGAAGGGTTTCATTGGCTGAAGTAAGAAACAAAAGGAAAAAAAGGATTGATGGTTACTATAAAATTCGACTGCAACCAAAAGCATCCATGTCAAAAACATGTGACATGGAATAATGTTTTTGCTTACAAATTATCCTGTGCACAATGGCTTTCTAGTTACTTTGTGGATCCTACCATGAGGTGTATTCCTTGTGTCTATGCATCATTTAAATAGATGAAAACACATTCTAAAACAAAATTTTTAATATAATTTTAATTATTGATTAAAATATATTAAATTAAGAGTGAGATTTACATAATTATTATATTTTTGATAAATTTTAATCAATCATTAAAAATATATTCAAAATATATATTAGAGTGGCAATTATTCTCAGACCAAATGGGGGCTTAGACAAGGAGATTTATTTTTTATTACATGTTTGTCCTTCATACATAAGCTCATTCTGTCATTCATGACCTATCATAGAAGAAGTTTCTCCAAACCACATTCATGGCCTTACAGAAAGAAAGATCAAGCCCGAAAATATCTCATCTTGTTGATGATAGCTTGTTGTTTGCAGAGGCAACGAGCGAAGAAGCTAACTCGCTATCTTGATAAGATTTCTTTTAGTCAAAATGTGCATGATAAAGTGAGAGAGATGATCGATACTATAGGATGGGAGTAAAGATGGTAGAAACTCATAAAAAGAGAGCTTGGTTTACCTGTCATTATTGGTAAATCAAAGGAGAGCTGTCCAAGACCAACTGTGGACCAACTGTGGAAGAAAGTTAAGGGTTGGTAGGACCGGGCTCTTCCCAACATATATCATGTATGATTTATTTTAAAGCTCCTGAAGGAATATGCGCCAAGAGAAGTATTATCAATTTATTTTTTATAATACTTTTTTTAACATACTTTTAGTTATTAATTAAAATTATAAAAATATGAAAAAATATTATTAAATTTAAAGTAAAAATGACCAAGACTTATATATTTTTATAATTTTTAATAAATTTAAAAAAACAATTAAAAGTATATTAAAAATAATATATTAGAGGGTATATTGTTAACTTCTCTTATATCTATTAGTGTCAAATGGACACTGGGTACATCCATCAGTAGTAAAAAGGCATTGGCAATGTTGGACGATTCACTGTTAAATCTGCATATGGAAAAGAAAACCTTAACGATGAGACCCATTTTCAAATGGAAAAGCTTGTAGAAGATCAGGGTGCTAGTGAAAGCAAAGTCCCTGAACTGACGTGACATGTACATAAAGATGCTCCCCCTGTGTGCCATCTCTGTGGAAAGGAAGAAAAGGAAGAGGAATATCTGGATCATGCATTTATTTTACAAATGCTACCAAGTAAAAAACTTCCTTTCTTCTCACGTAATTATTTAATAATTTTTAGTAAACTATAATTAATTTTTATTTTATTTTTAATAAAATAAATTAATTTATGGTCTAAACAGAATACATAAATAAATCTAATAATTAAGTTAAATAATATGTGTTTGGAGGGTAAGTGTACCCATCGAGAAGTAATAAAAGGTTCTTAAATTAAGTTCTCGAAATATCGTCCCACAAGGATAATTTTTCAATTACTAAAAATTCCCTAATTCAATTGTTTAAGTTTCAAAGATACGAGATTAAATAAAAACAAGAATTTATAAAATCAATTATAAAACTAAGAGCAATGGATACAATGCACGTCTTGGTTAAACTTATCAGAGAGGAACCTAGGGCGTATGGGTTTTCTCATTCAATCCTTTATGTTATTTTTCTATTTAACTCTAAATCCGATTTTCTTGTGATTACCAATCATTTATACGAATACTATTAATACCCAATAGTCATGCAATATTAATATTCTTTTCTCTAAATTAACATTCCCAATGGTCATGCAAGACATCAATTTAAGAAAGCTTAAGGAACCTATGAACTTGTTAATTTAATAACGATTAGAAGAGAAAGATTGGTTTGGTCCACCTAATCCTTTATCTCGTTTTACCCTATAGATCTATTAATTAACCGAGGTACGGTCGCCTGACGATATAATTAATTAGGATTAAGAAAGAAGCGCAATAGGATAAAATCTAATCATATAACGGAAATCAAATTAAGATTCAAACATCAAAATCCCATAAATTCATAAACAATAGTTCCCATAACCCTAGCTGTGGACTTAGTTACTCATGTAGAAAGAAAGGAACTAAAACATTCATGAATAAAGCCATAAAGAAAAGAAATAGAAAAACTAGAGTGTGATGAGTTCCCAGTCTTCAAGTACGGTCGCTTGAAACTCCAAGTCTCGCCAAGCATGTGCCAAGAATCCCGTACAAGATGTAAAAATTGTTCCCCAATGATGCCTCAGGTCTTCCCTTTAATAGGATTTGAAAACCCTAAAAACTCTTCATAATTAGGCTTCCCACATATAAGCACGGCCGTGCAAGGCCTTAAGCACGATCGTGCATGGGCTCGATGCACTTCCGTGCTTTATTGAATGGGTCTGGGCGTGCTGACTGCTTCAAAGCTCCAATCTTTTATCAATTTGGGACTAAAATGCATCCAAAATATACTTGCGGCCTCTTTATATCAAACTGCGTAATTAACAACTAAATTAGTGTAAAACCCAATTCAAATAAATGTCAAATATGAATAAATGGACTATAAAAGAGAGTCTAATTATAGACTTAACAATATGTTTGTTTAGATTTACATATCTATAATAATTAATGCATATTAAGTATAAGTTTTGATTTAAAAGCCCATTTTAGAAGAAGATTAAAGTTATTATTTTATATATTTAACTAAGTCTTCTTAAGAGAATTATATAATTATGAGAGAGTTGAGCTCAAATACAACAATTTTTATGATAAAGATTATATAAGTATGTCTAAAATTTTATTATTATTATTATTGATATTTTTAATTACTTTATTATTCTAATTTTATATAATCTTGTTATACTTATTAATTTATTTTGAATTCTTTTTGGATAGGTTATATTTAATTAGTGATGATTTGCATTTTTTTTTTCAAATGGTTAAAGAAAAATTTAACTCACCTAGATGAATATTATAATATAAGAAACAAATATTTTTTCTAACAAATTTTTACTTTGATCAATAATTAACTAATTTAATAAAAAATGTGGTGACATATTTAAAGATAACATAATAACAGATATAATTTTTTTTTATGCTAATTCAGTTTGAATGAACGTAAAAAATATTTTCTATATTGATTCAAATTGTACCAATGTAGAAAATAAAAAAAATAAAAAAATGAAAAAAGCATTAGATTCTTAAAAAAATAATTTTTTTAGTAAATTTTAAAAAGTTATTTAAAATAAATATATAATTTATATAAATTAGAAATAACAAACATAAATTCTTATTTACATTCTAAAACTTTTGTTAAAATTTTAACGAACAAAAACTCTTACTAAATATGTCAATAATTTTATTTTATTTTATTTTATATTTTTTTCCATTAACTCATTAGTACACGACATTATTGAACACTATATATTTTTTAATTACAGACTTAATGAAAATTAAATTAATAGCAAATATTAATAAACATTAACGACAAATACTTTATATTTTCTATTTACAAATTTAACAAAAATTAAATCTTAAATAAATATTAAAAAAAACGTTAACATTATTTATACTAACAAAAATTAATACTATTTAAAAATTATTTACTAAATTATCAGAAGAATAATGATGTTATTAACGAAAGTTAATAAAAAAAAATTCTTTCTATATTGATGGGTTAAAAGACTAATGTAAGGTATATGCATTTTTTACATTGATCAGTTAACTAATGTAAAATCTACTTACGCTATTCTGATAGCGTGTATGTACAAGTGTTTGTTATCCTTTGTTGGAGTATAAATGCACAAGGCGAGATGAATGCATTTTTTAAGGCAAGCAGCAGATTCAGGCAGCTGTTGTATCAGAAACTGCGGTTGTACTCGTTCATTCTATTTTGAATTGAAATCGTCTTTCACTCTAAAAAGTTTCATTTCATTCGACTTTAAAATAAATGAATACTCAATTGGTTGTGCAAATGATTCTTTGAAGACATGCTTGTAATTAGAATTTCACGTGAGATTGTCCTTATCATGCAACTATACATGCAAGGGTAAGAGTGGCTTAATTAACAAAGCAATTTATGCCAAAAAGGTATATAATATAAAAAATTAAAATTATCTAATATTTTTTAAGTAATAAAAAAATTAATAAAAATATAATTAATACTTTTTAATCAATATATGTAACACACTTGTGAAAGGAGATTATTATTATTAACGATAATTCAATAATATAATTTTTATAAAAAAATTATTACATATAAATGTAACATTTTACAAGATAAAATAATGATGATAAAAATAAAAATATAACTGAAATTTGAAGATGGGATATGGGTGCCGCCTAGCACTCTACTCTGCACCGAAGCAAATGGTTTGTAAAGTAGAGTTGAAGCAAAAGCACTACCTGCTACATGCTACGCATAAACATACGTGTCTACAGCACTTGCAAAACAATGGTGTAGAAAATTGTTGCTTCGTGATAGATTCCTTTCTTTTTCAATTTTCATTATTAAGTTTCGTCCCACTTTGACATAAAGATTGGATGGCACTCAAATTTTGTACTTTCCACTCTCAGAAATCTAAATGGCAACCAGCTAGCTGCATGAACTTCCATAACGACCCCACTTAGTCAAGTTTTGACTTCCATTAGACCCCATAATTAATTATATTTTCCAGCCAAGTTTCACATAATGGGCAAATAATCAGATGACAATACATGAGTTGAATAAGCACCTAAAGCACATCTGGATTTCAATGCGTATAGCCTACTCTATTGGTCCTGTACTATCAAAAAATCTTCTGCTCCAATTTATCAAAATATTAATATGTTGCATAGGTTTAATTTTGCATCACCCACGATTTAACCCTTTTGTTTTTTTGAAAAAAATAACTCACTTCATTTCATATACTTTGGATGTTATTAATAAGAGATACATGTAACCTTCGAGAAATAAAACTATTATGAATGGCAAAATTCTTTGTCTAAATATTTAACATGCTTATATTTATTGAAATTTAAATTTGAAATCACAGATTAATAGTACCATATATTTATTTAAATGCATTATTCCATTAATCCAAAATAATAAATTCAGATTTAAACAAGATTGAGTTTAACTATGACTTTTAGATTATTTAGGGTTATGGTCTAGGGAAGGGTAGCTTCATTGCTACTCTCGGGAGTAATTAGTCCTGTCACCAAGCAAACCTAATAACAAAAAGAAATAATAGTCTAGACTACAAGTGCTTAGACATTTCAGCACATGTTTAATTGCTAATAATTAATCTCATTTGTGCTTCCCAAGTCAAAACACACCTTACTTGACATTTTAAATTAAAGTATTTAAGGTTGAATTGCTTACGTTTTTAGCTTTCGGTACACATTCCAAAAAAATAGTTTACCTAAATTAATTTAATAAAATAAGTAAGCCCATTAAATTATTCTTTAAGATCGAATATGTTAGAGATTTTAGTCTTTACTTTGATTCTTTTGTTAATACTTGAATTTTAAAAATATTTATGATTATAATAATAATATTATTATTAAAAAGAACTATAATAAAAAACCTTTTACAAAATCATAAATTAACCAAAAAAATTAAAATCTCAAAAATAATTATCTATCTTATATAATCATATTGATTAGTTGAGAGGTATACCTTTAGTAGAATATTATTTTGATGATAATATATTAAATATCACTTCAAGTTAATTAAATAAATTTTAATTGTTAATTAAAGTAATTAAGGAAGATAATTTTTAGATCAATAATTTAAAATATTTATTTGATATACAAATTTATAAAACACGTGTCAAAAAATATAAAAAAGAAATGTAACAAAAAATAAAAAGAATTGACCAAATAAAAAAATAATAGTATAAACTATTTCCTTTTTAACATAACGATAATTTAAAAGCGGTCTTTGAATATATATATATATATATATATATATATATATATATATATATATATATATATATACATATGAACCAATATCTAAAATTTTATAGTAATTAAATCTCCAATAAATAAAAGTTGTAAAAGTTAAAATCTTATTTTAAAAATATGATTATTTGTAGTTCTTGAAAAGGAACTAGTATATAATATATTCATCTTTTTTCAATTAACATTGTTTTCCAAAACTTCTTCAAAAGTTAAAGCTGTAAAAGAAAATTTAAGTATTTACTCATTATAAATTAGTTAATTTAAACTTCAACCTATTCCTTAAAAACTTATCAGTACGTAGGCCAATGAGAAGTTGACTCGTTTGTCAAATTTTACTCTTATAAAATTAAGACTTGAGTCTTATTTTAAAATAACCTATTAAATGAATAATATGTAATTTGATAATAGATTTTAGTCGAAATTAATTATATATAACTGCAATGGTATCAATACATCAATGCTCGTCTTCAAGTCGGTCATTTTCGTCACCACCTTTATATTATCAAGTTGACTTGCAATATTCTATTTATGTTCATTCTCAGTGCTCCTAAAAATCTAGATGAAACAGATCTCAAATTTGGTTAGGACTCTTATCTCATTTTCTACTCCTCAATTTTTTTCCACCTTATCTAATGCTGTTTCTGAGTTTGAACGTCTTTTAAAGGTTTTCATCATTTTACGGAATTCAAGATTCATTGTTACAAGTACATGAGTGTGTGGATCTTGATAAATGGCTACTGCACATTCGACAATCACCGAATGTGAAAATCCTTACGTGTCAACTTACATGCAATCAACATTCATCTAGTTTATTTAATCCATAACATTTAAATTGACCAGTGTGGTTAGGTAGGATTCGAGAAATTAATACATAGTGCAGGGCTAAATAATAAAGTACAAACCACTATCTTTAACTTTATTTTTCCTTGGCCAATTCCTTTTTCAATCATTTACATTTTTAAGCATAATATATTTACAATATTGTGAATTTGCCAACTATTCCCCATTATATAAGGTTCTTAATATATTTGGGTCTCATATCTCAAACCACCTTCACTCCTCTGATCACTACGTACACTGTACTCAGCGCACACATATATCATCTGTGCTTTGCCAGTATGCTGTACAAATCATCTGTGAGGCCTTTGAAGATGGCTGTGGCTAATTTGCTTACACTGTTTTTGCTAATTGAGGTGTTCGCACACGGCTTCAGATTTGGAACAGATGGCTTAAACATGAACTACTACTACTTGATGAATTGTCCTTTTGTTGAACCTGTTGTTAAGAACATAGTCAATAGAGCTTTGCAGGATGATCCCACCCTAGCTGCTGGTCTTATTAGAATGCATTTCCATGACTGCTTCATTGAGGTTCCTTCTCTCTCTCTCTCTCTCCCTCTCTCCCTCTTGCCATAGATGTACTAGCACACTTAATTTGCATGAGTTTTAAATGGAAATGTGATTTTGTCATTTTTAATTGTAGCTCTCATCAAATATATATACTTATGTAGTTCCTAATTGATTGACTTATAAAGTTTGCTTTATTATTTTTAAAGAGGGAATAAATTAGTATAATAAAAGGTTGAAATAGAAGTACTTTTGATGTCAATCTTTTGGAAGCGAAATTGAGTTGTGTACTGAATAAGATTTGATTGGATTTACAGCTACGGTTAAGATATAGCAATATATTTTCATACCAAACTTAAATTTTCCTTCTAATATTCCACTCTCATAAGTCATAATAATAGTATTTACATATATTATTAGGAATTTTAACGTGACTTATTAAAAGTTAAAAATATGTTTAGGTTTTACGATTTATACTCATTTATTAATGAGTTTAAACTTTACATTTTAATTTTTATTCAAACATTTCATTACATTTTAAACTTTTTACGTTTATAATATTATTAGTAAGAAATTATTTATTTTCAATATTTTTTTAATGATATTAATATTAATTTATAAATTAGCGTGAATTACATGCACTAACACCTTCGTTTACTATAATTTTTTAAATAACTCAAATGAGTATTCAACACCACTTGTGAAGATAAAGTGAAAATGTCACCATGCTTTCAACTTCTTATAGTCGTCAATGCGTGACTCAACTATTTCTTGTCCCTGAAATGTCCACCACTAGAAGATGTCGTGCATGTCTTTCAACAAAGGACAAACCTCACCTAATTAATTGCACCCAATTTAAATTCATAATATCTAGTAAATCAAAATTGTTTATAATTTTTGTTCTACTAGGGATGTGATGGATCAATTCTGATAGATTCCACAAAGAGTAATACAGCAGAAAAGGATTCACCAGCAAATTTGAGCCTGAGAGGCTACGAAGTCATAGATGAAATCAAAGAAGAGCTTGAAAGCCAATGCCCTGGCGTGGTTTCATGTGCTGATATTCTAGCTATGGCTGCTAGAGACGCAGTTTTCTTCGTAAGATTTGAAGCTGATACCCTTTCTTTATTATTTATTTGTATAACTCATTCCCCTGTTATGTAGTGTAATGAATTAGTGATTGATGTAAATTGGCTTGAATATGATTATCACCATGAAAAATACAGGCTGGAGGGCCAGTGTATGACATACCTAAAGGAAGAAAAGATGGAAAAAGGTCCAAAATTGAGGATACTATCAATTTGCCATTCCCTACCTTTAATGCCTCTGAGCTTATTAAATTGTTTGGACAACATGGTTTTTCTGCACAAGAGATGGTGGCTCTCTCTGGTAAGCATACACATACACTCCTATTATTTAATAATTATTGCTATCTTTTAATCTTTGTTGAACGATTTCCTGGTAATATTTCTATTTTAATAAGAATTATTTCAAATCCCGATTATGTTGACTTTATGGTTTAGTTCATTCTTAGTAAATTCTTTGAACAGTATATATTATAAGGAGATTTGAATAGTATAAGTTTATTAAAGATTGTTACCCGCTTAATCTAAGATACTCATGTAGTTATACTAACATATCTAAAATGTGTACGAAAAGTAATCGTAAACTACACACAATATAAAACATATTCTGATATATATATATATATATATATATATATATATATATATATCGATGTTCAATTGTGAAATATGAGTGCATCATAACGTAAAAGTTTCACCGACCAATTAAAAGTTATTTAGGCTTTGTTTTGTTTGTTTCAAAGTGTAAAAAAGTTTTTATAAAAAGAATAGTATAAAAAATAATAAAATTTATTTTATAAGTTAAAAATAGTTTATTTTTAAAAAAAATTTGAGAAGTTTAATAAAAGAACTTCTAATAATTTTAAAAAAATAAAAAAATATAAGTTGTTTCTAACTTTGGAAAAATTTTATTATTTTTTATATCAATTTGTTCTTTTATAAATATTTTTCAAAAAAAATATTCCAACGGAAGCTTATTCTATGCAATTTTTTTGAAAACATTCATCAAACATAGTTAATTACACATATATGTGGTATAAACATATACAGGAGGCATGAACATGAAAGAAATTCCCATGTAACAAACGCTTATATTGTCATAAAGTCTACAAAAATTAAAGCATGGAAACATATCATGTGAGGTTGAAAACTTGGATTGTATATGCAGGGGCTCATACACTAGGAGTGGCAAGGTGTGCTTCTTTCAAGAACCGATTGAGCCAAGTGGACCCCACTTTGGATACAGAATTTGCCAAGACACTGTCGAGAACATGCAGTTCTGGCGACAACGCAGAGCAGCCATTCGATGCGACGAGGAACGATTTTGACAACGTTTACTACAATGCTTTGTTGAGGAAAAATGGGGTTCTTACATCAGACCAAACACTATACACTAGCCCCAAAACCAGGAACTTTGTGAATGCTTATGCATTGAACCAAGCCATGTTCTTCCTTGACTTCCAACAAGCAATGGTGAAGATGGGCCTCCTTGATATCAAAGACAGTTCCAAAGGGGAAGTACGAGAAAATTGTCGCAGAATCAATTGAATGAATTGTGGGTTTGTGATTATTTTAGCTTTAATCAAGACAAATTCCCAAACCATGCCATTAGTTAAAACTACATTATATGTTATGTATATAAATGTGTATGGTTAAGTAGCTCTATTTTGTTTCCATTGGGTGTGTTCACAATTATAATAGTAACCCTTAATCATCAATATCTCCCTATGTATGTAGCGTGGAAGTAACTCATCACATTGGCGTTCGAGAGTGATCCATTACCAAAAGTTTTTTTAAACAATGCTGCCAGATTAAGTTGTTTATTCATCATATATCTCATATTTTTCTCTCTTTTCTTTCTTTCTTTTTCTCTTAAATCAAAAGAACGGTTGTAAAAATATCATGTGGAAGTAGAATTATACTAAATTTAATTAGTCTCTTCGATTTTGCTACAGGGATATGAAGATGGGCTTCTTCTGTAATAATGATATAGCGTGAAAATATTTTATGTAATATTAATGTGTTAAGAGTGAAATTACACGACAGACACTATTAATGTGTCAGTAACTGTTTCTTTTGGCCCTATTATGATTCTATCATTCAAAGCGCTTCAGAACTTGAAAAATGGCAAGCAAGCAGTTAAATATATTGATAAAACGTCTCTTTTGTTGACAAAAAAGAGTCACTTTGAAAATTCTTTTAACAGTAACACCTATCCTTGATCGACTCTCATGTCCAAGCGAAAAGTTTGCAGTCCTTCTGTTATATCTGTGTACACTTGAGATCGTGATCAGATATTCATATTGATTAAATTAAACAATTGCCGTTGCTGTCAATAAAGATGTATAGACATTCATATGTTCAAACATAAGTTTTGTGATTAAGATTAATTCAGACACATAATAATTATATTTAATGATTCAAAATTAATTTTTTTAATATTGAAAAATAAAGTTTTAAAAAAATGTTGCGACCATTAACCATACGTCGAAACTTTGTTCTTAATTTTTTCTACAAAAAAATTTCTTTGGACAAACAATTTGATCCCATTGATTTTAGCCTTTTCTTAGACAAGTGAATGAAAGAAGATGATTTTTTTCATTTTTTTTTTACACTACAATATTTTTTTTTTTAAATATCTCTAACAAAAATTTAAAGTATTAAATAAAAATATTTTTTTAAAATTAAACAACTTTTAAATTTCTCTATTTTTTTATATTTTAAAATAATTTTTTAACTTATTTTCAGTCTGCATCTCTATTGCATTTCGTTCTTCCTCCCTATTATTCTTCTAAGCTATGTCCTATTAACTTATGTCGTTTTTGAGTGTGTTACAAACATAGCTATCCCTTATGTTAATAGTATTTAATATATTATTAAAAAAAATACTGAGACACGTGACAATGTCTTCGAATATTGGCTGACTTAGATTCGATTTCTATGTTAACACTGCCAAGTCTGACACACGTTGTGATTGGTCTACGTGGCTTTGCTTCTGAACCATTACCCACACCACCTCTCTCCACATGCTTTGTCTTTGCTGCTTTTTCTTCCGCTGATATCAATTGGTCATAATAATGCTCAAACCTCAGCATAGAAAGAAACACCAAGAGGAAGAGAATATAAATGTGACTTAATGAGATTTCATTCAGAGCAAATTGATTGCAGTAGTCGTGCACTTAGATATGCCTTGTGTGACACCCTTAATTTCTTCTTCAAGTTAATTAGCAATTTATGAGGAGGTAAAGGAATAAAATAAATTTCTTTTAAAACATGTAATATAAAAATATAATAAAATTTAAAATTTTCTTGTAAATAAGTTCATTTATAAAATTTTACAAAAATATTAAAATAATAAAAGATAAATTATACCTTAATAATTACATTTACACTGAAACAATAGAGAATATATATATATATATATATATATATATATATACTTAATTTCATTTACATACACAAGTTTAATATTTACAAACTATTATCAAAATACATTAGGACTTAAATTACATAATTATATTATCAAAATAACTAGGTTCTAAGAGTAGTTCTTATCCACATCTAAAATACTGAGGACTTAGTCCTAGTCATTATCTTCGTGTCAATCCTCTATCTCATCTAGCTTTTTAAGAGTCAGGTCCTCATTTTTTCTAAAATCTTCAAAATCAATCATGACCTCAATACTCGTTTCTAACTCAAAAATAAACTGGGTTAGTCTTTCAAAGAGATCATTATCAAGAAAAGTATAAACATAATTTGTAAATGTTAGAGTTATTACTGTCCCTTTATAAATAAAGATACTAAGAATTTAACGAATCCTATTATTTAAATGATAGTCAAAAGGAGCACTATAATCTAATGTCATTTCTAAGGTAGAAATGTCTCTTACTTCATTATCATATTTTGCAACAAATTTAAAAAAAAACATATGCATTGATACTCCCTATATACATAGTTTAACTTACATTTTACAAGATAATCCACTAGTCTAATTAATTCTTGAGATTCATTCATCCTTATTTCTTGAAATATTTGGTAAGGATGAGCGTCTTTCTCAACATAACACAAATTCATTAATAAAGATTACAACATAACTTTACTCATGAATTAAAATGAATATTACTACCTTAAATACATAAACAAATTCATCAATAATTGATGACTTAAATCAATGAATAGGCAAGTGCACCTATTGTCATAGTAGTAAATTAAAAAAGAGTACCAAGTGTCATAACTATAGGGACTGTTAATTAAACCCTAAACACAAACAAAAAAATTATGATGATAAATTTTGCTAAGATTTTTAAGAAAATTTAGAAAATGGAGTTAAGTAAATTCAGCTGAATAAAGTAAATACCTAGATTATAAATTCTCCTAAGCATCCAAACAACTGAATTCCTCCCTCAATGGCTAAATTTTAATCTCTTAAACCTACAGGAATTCCTAAGATAAGTCAATACCTTTCTCAAGTATAATAGCTTCTAACCCTCAGTTGATTAACCTGAATCTTTTCCTTAATTAACACCTCCTAGGTTGCATTAAATTTGATTTATGAATTCCACAATTAGAATTATTCCTAATATAAAAGAATTATGTCATTCTATCTCTAGAGTTGCATTCAAGTCTTTTCAAATAAGTAATGATCAATTCATATCAGATTTCTACTCAAAATCATAAACATGAAAATAAGATAGGAGATAAATTGAATCATCAACCAACAAGTAAAACTACTCAATTAAACTCAAGAAAACAAAACTTGAAATAGTCTGAAGGTGAATTCCAAGAAAGGATTCATTATATTTAGGTACTTAAAGAGGAAATTAGAAATTAAACATAGGCAAACTACAATTCAAGATTAAAGAACAAGAGAAAAGACTTGTTGTCATCCCTAGTTGTAGCCATCACTTTTTCTTCATTCCCAACCATCTTCCTTAGATTTTTCCATCATCCTCTTTTTATATTAGGCAGCTCAACTGTTCACTTTCTCGCAGATGCTTAAATATGATGCGCATTATTTTACACAAATACACGATCATGTAGTTGCCCATGTGTATCTCTTGTTCCTTAATAATTTAGCCCTTTAAGCTTCTAATTGAACAACATGCTTGGAAACACGGTTATGCACTTGACCTCTTTACTTCAAAGACTTTACTTATTTTACGTGATCCGAGAAGTACATAAACATATATATAGGCATGAACTTGCTTGTGTAGATCTCTGCCTTTGCACACTTATAACAATTCATTCAACCTGAAAAGCACATGTGCACATACACGGTCATGTATCTAGCCATGTTTCTTGCTAATTTTGTAAATCTTTAAAGGAAGTTGACATTGCTTTCTTTTTTATTCATTATTCTTCCAAAGGTTCTTATTTCTTGTTCATTTTCCCTGAAACATGAATAACAATCCAATTAATAATGAAATTTCACAATGGCTACTTCAAAATCTTAATAATTATTCATGAAATACATTAGAGGATCTAGCATAAAAGGCATTTATCAGCAATTTTTACAAAATCATACATACTCAATCACAAATCACTATACTTTATTTCTCAAATATGCACTTTCCTATGCAGTGTGATAACATCTATTCAATACCTCCAACACTTCTTAAGGTCTTACACAAATAGGTAAATAGTCAACGATTATCCCATGCATACAGATACAACGTATACAATAATGGGCCCTTTAGCAAAGGTATAGTCACAAGTCTAGTTAAGAAACGAGTTTGAGGCTATGTGACAGATTTGCTCTCAGATAAAGTATATACACATACGCGAATGTCATTCACCATCCTATATTTCCCAGATTTTCAATATTATCTCCAGAATCTATAACTCACTACAAGAAAAATAGTTATTTGTGACTGATTTTTCAATCACTAATAAAAAAATTTCGATCACTAAACTAATTAGTGACCGATTTTTTTACTGATATTATTGGGTTGCTAAATGTATGGTGGCTAATAGTTAACGACGGATTTAGCGACTGATAGTTTAGTGACCGAAACTAGAGACTGAATTAGTGACGAAAAGTTATGGACTGACTTAATGACTGAAGTTAGAGACCAAACTAGTGACTAAAACTAGAAACTGAATTAGTGACAAATTTTAGAAAATGAAGTATTGACGGACTTTAGTAATCGATTTAATGACTAGTTTTAGAGACTAATTCTATGAAAAAATTAGTGATGAACTTTGAGACGAATTTAGTGACTAATCTTTGAGACTGATTTAGTGACTGACTTTATAGACTAAATTAGAGACTGATTTAGTGGTTGATTTCAAAATTGATATAGAGACCAATTATTAGTGTCAAAATTGGTCGCTAATAATATAATATTTTTAAATTATGTAAACTGATTAATCATAATTGAACCTGATAGGTAGAGATATATCATCAATAATAATCGCTATTTTTTAGAAACATAGGAAAATCTTTAGCATACACAATAATACATAATAAATCTCTAAAACACAATACAAATTGTTAAAGTCTTTCATTGCATACACACTACATAAGTCTCTAACATAATACACAATAG